CCTCCATCCCTTGGCCCCGCCCCTTTTGCGCCCCTTTCTCGCGCTCAACCAAGCAGCCTCCTCCCTACTCCATCCCCTACTCCATTCCCCCAGCACACAGCAGCCAGGATCCACACCTGGAGTCTATGAGGGAGGTGCGGTTAGAGCCATTGTCGCGGACACGCAGCCACTCAATGGTGATCCGGGCCCGGTGGCCACGCGTGGACGGCTTCTCTTGCTTGCGGAGCGTGGCCCTGGGGACAGGCTCCTGGAAGATCCGCAGTACAGCCTGCACCAGTTCGCTGTTGGGTGGCAGTCGTCCCTCCATGCCAAACACCAGCAGCTGCGTGGAGGCCTCGGACACCAAGAACTTGCCCACCATCTCTGGCGACAAGAGCAGGGTCAGCATAGCCTCTCAGTACACCAGGGGAGTTCTGAAGGTGGCAAGGCCATTGAGCAGGCTGCCAGGCCAGGAGAGACCAGCCCCTGTTCTGTGTTTCTGGGGCAAACCCAGTTACCTAAAAATCTCCCTTGAGTCTGGGACTCCTTTAATAACGATTTCCACCAGCAGGAAGAGGCCTCTCTGGGACTCTTGGATAACTCCAACATATGGAAAATCAAATATCAGCACCTGTGGTGTCCGGCATTGGATGTAGCTTGGGCCCTTAGCAGATGGTTCCAGCTCTGAGGCAATAGGCTGCACTAAGATGGAGGTGCAGCTGCATCTCTGACAGCTGGACACTCTGCTGTCACACTTCAATATTCCCAACTACCCACAGCCACTCACTCACTTCATTGTTCACCATGCTGGGAGGGAGACAGATGAGAAACAGTCGTCCACTGTTCCAGGTAGCAAATGGTTGAAAGAGGTTTTTAAGGAAATTTGTTCCAGATCACCCTCAGATCAGGGTGGCAATGTGGAAACAAGAAGTCTTGCCTGTAACCTAGTTCCCTGGGGGAACCTGGTTCTAGCCATACCCACCCAAGCCCAGTAGCTCTCTATCTCCTCCTCTTCTCTGGGGCCTGGGCTTTGCCAGCAGGTCCAGCCTGGCACACCTCCTCCTGGCCCTGAGAGATCTATCAATGCACAGCCAAAGCCCAGGGACCCAGATCCACCCACCCTCACAGGCCCATGGTCCCTCCTCACTGCCCCTTAACCATAAGCACCACATGGTCTCTCCACAGAGCCTCACAAAGCAGGGGCCTCTTGACACTACCAGAATGGTTAAGGGCAGTCTGTCTGTCCCTCCCCACTAAGGATCAAGATGCAGAAGGTGGAGGGCTCACCTCGGAAGCTCTGGCTGAATCTCTTCTCACGGGAGCGGTCCCCATGGCTACGCTGCATCAGGGATACATACTGGGCCTGCACATCAGGAGGCATGGTCAGCTCCTCCACATCGGCCCTGTCCATGGTGGGTGCCTCGCTGAGCTGCAGCTGCTGCAGCAGGCTGTCCAGGACCTGTTCCTCAGTCAAGGCCTCCCCAGGGCCCACTAGTGGCATCACCCAGAGTGCCAAGCAGAGCCACAGGGACCACATGGTACAGTTCAGGACGGTAGATGTGTCCCCAAGAAGGCTGTTGGAGGATCTTGGGCCTGGCTGGGTCTGCTGAGAACTAGGGCTGGCCAGCTTTATAGCCAGCCCTGGGTGAAGAGGGAGGGGCATAGGTCACACCCCTTGGACCTCCTGGGAGCTCAGCAGCCAGACAGGCTCTTGAGTCCCAGGGAGCAGGCTGTCCAGAAAGGGCACAAAAGACTGTCTGGATGCCTGGAGTTTCTACCTATACTGCCTTGACAGCTCCCAATATTGAATTTCCCTAACATATCCCAATCTTGTTTTATGAAAAAGCAAGATTGTTTTGTGAACAAGTGAGTCCTATTAGCCACTTTTAAATCTCTTCCTGAAAGACATTATGGGTCTAGATTTGTCCCAGAAGGAGGGAGGGAAAGTGTTCTGTAGTCCTGCTGGTCTTGGCCTCTTTCATGATGCCCCTTGAGTCAAAGGAATCTCCCTCTATCTTTTAGCCCTTGCAATCCCCTCCTGCTCCATGCCATGTGTCTTTCAAGGTTCTGTCACATTCCTTGCCTTCCCCCATGACAGAGGAAGGTAGATGCTGTCAGGACAGAACTCAGGCAGCTGACTCAGGAAAAGCAATTCTTGCTGGTGTCTTCCCAGTCAGACAATCACAGAGTGATTTTCCACCTTCAGATAGCAGAATCTTTCTGGGGAGGGGTCTGCCCACTGAGCCGGCTTACACCATCAGCACTCAGCCTGAGTCCTTGACATTTCCAGACATGGGAGGAAGGACAGAAAGCAGAAAGCCACAACACAGAGGCATGTGTTCCCAGGTGGGGTAGCACCGTAACACCGTGACAGGCATGTCCTGTCCAAAGCCATAGGTACTGGGGGCATATTGAAGTGAGAGCCCTCAGTGCCTTCTCCAACACATTTTAGACTAGCTGGGTTTGAATATGGGATCTACTACTTGTTCCACGCTAAACCTACTAGTGAGTTATTTAACTTCCCAGTGCCTCAGTTTCCTCATCTGAAGGCAGGAGATGATGATAATAACAGGATCTACTTCATAGAGTTAGTATGAAGATTAAATAAATGAATATGAATAAGATGTTTAGCCCAGTGCCTTGTTCTAGTAATCACTCTAGAAGGGTGTGCTTTTGGTATTTGTCTAGAAATCTGCATTCTCAAGGTTGTGGCCTTTCTAAAACTATCATCAACAAGAATATGAAACGTTTCTTGAATGTTTACCATGTGTCAGGCATGTATTCAGGAGACACATCTCCCAGATGCAGTATAGAAGCACTGCAGGGTGAACTGATGTTCAGTTGGTGGAAAGCTCAGACAAAAATGCAGGCATCTGTCTCCAGAGGCCTCTCCTGGCTCAGGGGATTTGAGGGCATGAGGGAGGAAGCCCTTCCTGAAAATCCACAATCTTGATTCCTGTGTTCTGTCATGTGGGAGGTGAACGATGATGGTGGAGGGGGACAAGGACTGTGGTCTGAGGGCCAAAGGACCGGTTGGGCAGGAATCACCTCCGCCACCTTCCCAGGTAGGGTAGCACCGTGACACCTCTGTGGAGATGCTGCGTCATTGACAAACCCCTCGTGTCACACAGCCCAGGAGGAGAGAACTTTCTAATCCTCAAGGGCAGAATTTCTTCTGGGTGAGAGCCTAGGGATACCATGCATAAATTTACACTATATACATGTGTGTGTATGTGTATATATATATATATATATATATATATATATATATATATATACACTTAGGCATTTGCATATACACAAGCATTTGTAAATATACATTCATTTGCATATAGAGAGTGGGATTTTAGTAGTATGTGGGATGGGCTTAAAATTAGAAGGTGAAATAAAAATAACACTGATAAGGGCTGGGGATATGGCTCAGTTGCTAGAGTACAAGGCCCTGGATTCAATCCCCAGCACCACAAAAATGAATAAATAAATAAATAAATAGCACTGAGAAGCTAGGAGTGAAGTCAGATGTAAAGCATATGCTTAACATGTTTGAAACCCTGGCCTCTATCCCTGCAAAATAAATAAATAAATAATAAAAATCCCATTTAATAGTTTGAACATCCTCTGAAAAATAAGTTGTGTCCGGTCCAAACCACCCTCCCACTCTCTTGGTGACAAGCATAGCCTTCTTCAAAAGAAATGCTGTTGCCTTTCTTTACAAGTGATTATCAGAGAAAGGACTTAAGTGATGCAAACATTTGGGCCTTAAGTCGGACCAAAAGGTGCAGAAGTGTCACATTTACAGGCGACTCAGGACCTGTGGTCCTCAGTCCTAGAAGCTCTTCTGGGTTGGTTTCCATAAATATGCGATAGTCCGCCACCCTTGCTGCTGGGTGAGAGGAAGCCCTGTGGCTTATCACAGGCCAGAAAGGTGCCAAGGATATAACACCCAGGCTGCCCTTGCATGCCACAACCCCCTCCCCAAGCCTCCAACATCTAGAGCTATTGGGAACTCCCTGGGGCCAGAGGCTTACAACAAGACCTTGTGGACCCTGTTGTGGTTCAGCAACGACATGCTGTTCCAGGGCCGAAGTAGGCCAAGTCCCTGGTGCTGCTGCTTACAGACGTGCACAAGAGCCATCTACCATCTAGGAGACACATCAGGGCAAAAACCTGGGAGTACCTGGGAACTGACATGCTAAATAGAAACCTCATTTTCCAGAGAAGACAGTAAAGTGGAAGGACCCTTCCTGCCTCCTCCAGATGTCTTCTTGGTGCTTCTGGATTGGCCTTCAGGGCAGAGCCAAACCTAGAACTGAGCCCTCAGTGGGAGCTAGAACTATCCTGTCAATACCTAGCCTCTCCAAGGACCTAAGATGGGGCCAGGCATGTGAGGCCTAGTGCTGAGGGTGGTTCTGGGAGCCTGCACAGGTGGTACATGGTTGGAAAACATCCCTCTGCCCAATTTGGGGGAGCATCCCTTGAGCAAGGAGCCTGGGAACATGTAGCACCAATGAAGAGCTTATCCGGCCAACTACCTTGCTCTCCTGGGCTTTGAGTTGAAATGGACTATTGAGCTTAGAGCTGAAATGGAGTAACAAAGCCATTCTGCTGCCCCAAGGTTTTGAGCTAAGAAAACTGAGGTTTGGAGAGGTGACAGCTTCCCCAAAGCTCACACAGTTAATGATCAACACCTGAACAAAGCCAGTTCTTCCAATTCCCAGGCCATAGTGCTTTCTACAACCTCAAATTATTTCCAGTGCCCATCCTGCCCTGTCCCTGAAAGCCTGCAGGGCTCATCCATCAGCCTCAGGCAAGCTGGGGATTCATCAACCCAGAGTTGGGTCTGGGCAGGGGAAGGGGGCAGGGCAGCTTGAGAAGCAGACAGACAGAGGACAAATCCTGCAGACTCCTCAGATTTCTCCCAAGACTCAGGTTGCTGTCCTGAATGTGGATTCCCACCAGCCTGTAGAGTTCTGTTGGGAATATAAAGTAATTGGGCAATTAGCCAAAAGCCAAAAGAAGGACACGAATGTGGATTGGGAAACTTTTTACAAAGGATAGATTACCCCTCAGGAGGGAGGGCAGCCGCTCTTTGTCATGCAGAGGAAGAGGCCAGGCCACCCCTCAGACTGTGGATCTGGATGGTGTGTCTGGCTTTGGGGTCAGGTCAGGCTGACAAAACAGAAAAATTGTAAAATAGCCCCTTCTGTCCTGGTGGGAGGAAAGAAGTTTGGAGAATAGGGAACATTTACTTAAAAACTGTCTGAATCAGAACTCTTTCCCCAAAGATGTAGTCCAGATTGTTTATGAACCTGAATGTTCAGGTTTTTAATTTTTTTAAAAAAAATATTTTTTAGTTGTAGATGGACACATGTCTTTATTTTATTTATTTATTTTTATGTGATGCTGAGGATCGAACCCAGGGCCTCAACACTTGCTAGTCATGTGCTCTACCACGGAGCTACAGCCCCAGCCCCAGGTTTTTGGGGTTTTTTTAACCATACGATTTAAATATTTATTCTTTAGTTGTAGGTGAACACAATACTTTTATTTAATTTTTATATGGTGCTGGGGATCGAACTCAGTGCCTCACGCATGCTTAGGCGAGCGCTTTTCCTCTGAGCCACAACCCCAGCCTCATCCAGGTTTTTAAAATTTGAAGTGAAGGCTTTTTATGTTTCTTCAGATATATTATAAATCTTTTTAAATGTAATTATCTGAAGGCTATATTAAAAATGCAAATTCTTTGCATTATCATTTGCATATATTTCCACTGAGACCCATAGAACCAAAGTCTCCTCCGACCTGGATGGCTTTAGACAAACCCAAATGTCTTAGCTTGCTCTGTCTTCTCAGAACCACATTCCATATTCAGGTCGCTGCTTTCCTTGTCATTGTGTTGTCTGGCCTGTCAATTCCACACAGCTTAGCCACCATGATATAGGCTGCCCCTGAGCTCAGGAGACAGCTCTCCATTCCTCACCTTCTCCATAACCCCACTATTCTGACACCTCCCACCTTCCATCAAGGAGTCAACAAGGAACACAGGACAGACACCGAGAATTGACTCCACCAGAGCAGAGGCCAGGAATCAGAATGTTGAAGATTCTATGCCCATTAGGTTGGAGGAGCAGGACAGGGTGAGGACGGGTCCATTAGTAGTCCCACGAGGCAAAGGGAGGATGCTGGAGAATTTCCGTGAAAAAATAGCCCATCAAGCCATCCAAGTTACTCATAATCTTGTTCTTCTAGATGATTCCTCAGCTTCATGAGTGCCTATGATAAGAGGAAAGAAAATGACCAGGAAAAAACTTTTTTTTTTTTCCCCCTGAGATCTTTTCTGGACTTTCTCTAGAAATTTGAGAATAAGAACAGGTGAACAGAAAAGTTTTTTTGTTCTTTTTCTCTAAATACTCTGAACAGCAACATGTTGTACGTGAACTAAGTACCACAATATTTAATTCTGCAAAGTTAGCAGCTCAAGAGATCTATTGAATCGTAGTTATCTGCATCCATTTTCCTGTCAATTTCCATTTCTTC